ATTTGCGGGCTACAATTATATCTCATTAAAAGAAGGGTTTAGTTATCTTTTAGAGTACTTGAAAAACTGATTTTCCAGAAAACGGGGTCTTCAAGAGTCATGGGCCCGAACCCTTTTAGGATTTTCTTAGTCTCACTGAGTCCTACTTATAGCCAAAATATGGAGTCAAACGGCGTCTGACAGTTGGATAGGTTCCCTCGTTAGTTAAGCCAGATGGTATGCATTTTTATTTTTTTTTGAGTCGGAATCTTGTCATCCTTATTGCCCTTTTCTCGAAGCGAAGTAGATTGTTGAAAAGTTAACGCGAGGTGAGGCTGATCGAGCCGATGTTTTAGGTGCCTGAAGCGATGTGAGTCGAAGCAACAAAAACTTGCGTTTCAGACTCTGTTACTTATGCGCATAAACAAAAAGCAAAAAAACCGAACAAGTAATTAACCTTGCCGTCTTCTTTACCCGCTTGATCCTCAACTGAATATACTCTGATCATTCTTCACCATTTCTTCTGTTAACTGTGTTTGAAGTTTATGTCAGTCAAAAGAACGTTTAGTAAAGAATCTATACTGCTTTCATTAAAAAATATTTTATAGATGAACTGAACTCACTAGTTAGATAAAAGAACTCTTCGACGTCATCGATCAAATGTGGCTCGCAGTCAGTCGTCGGGATCTCTACGATCCACCACTTCTAACTATTCGCATGTCTAAATTGTATGAACTCAGCTCAAAATGTCGTCTCGAGATATTTGACATTGTGAATAGATATAACGCCATCTAGTCAGGTAACAAAGTATTTTTTAAAATTTCTTCCTTGTATTTCGTTGTTTGTATCTGATCAAAACTACTGAACAATTTGAGTGCATATCCGGCTCGAATATCCCATTCTTTGTTGCTTTTGTTTTGGTGATATATAGAATAGTACTGACTAATAATGAACAAAGGGTTAATTAATGGAAGCTGATTCCAGGCTTGGATTACTCATCTTTGACTATCATTGATAGATTTTAATTTAAAACAATATTCAAGGGGGAAACAGCTGACTCCATGATTCCGTGATTCCATTGACTCCGAGGGATGCTAATGACTCCAAAAACTCCAAAAAACAAAGAAAAATAGTTAATAATGTCAATAACACAATTCATCACACGGAATAAGAATAATTAGAATCACATGGAATCATTGGAATCACCCGGAGCCAACAGAATCAATCGGAATCATTTATCAATCTGCTTTTTTCTATCGTGGTTAAGAAAACTGTACGAGATACGTTCGAATCATTTTGATAATAACAATGATCGTGTAGTAAGACTGAGAGTTTGATCTTCAAACTGAATTCGGCATGCTCTTCATTTAGTTTTCATTATTACTATAGAAATGAACGAAACGATAAATAATTCCGATTGATTTTCTTGAATTCGAGTGATTGCATTGACTCCGGGTGATCCCAATGATTCCATCTGATTCTCATATAATGAAATCAGCTGTTTCTCCAATCAATACGGATTTCATACGAAACCCGAGAAATATCGAAACTTTATGAAGGTTTCGTTGTTTGCTACGATATCTGTGAAAGATACGCTACAGAACCTTTTGTGCACGATTTTTATAAATTAACTGCGGAACCGAAAACATCATCATCACGACCAATGGTGATCTCGTCATCAGAAGGAATGCCCTTGTTGCTCGGTAAAGCAACCGAAAATCCTCATCAATTTCTAATTAGTGTAAAACAACACGTACGAAGCGCCTATCGATGGGACGAAAATGAATTATTGGAGAGCATTGCCCAATATTTACGAGACACAGCATTCGATTGGTACTGCCAATTAGAATTATTCCATCGCCGTCCGCAATCTTGGTCGGAATTTGTCAGCCGATTCCTTGCACAATTCAACTCGCCGATTCATCGAGCTCAGCATAAACAAGAATAGCGAGAATGTAAACAAGAAGAAAACAAAACTATCAACGAATTCGCCTTCGAACACTGTGGACACAGCAGAAACCAAAAGAAACAGAATCGGACGTTATCCGACACATGATGTGCAAAATACGCAGCGACCTGCTCAGCATGATGGAAGCAGCCCGTTACGAAACACTGGATGAATTGATGCTGAAAGCCGAAAGAATTGAAGAGATCCTAAAGGAACGGTCGAGAAAAACAAGACCAGTCCAACGAACAAACACATAATACACCAGACAAGGATTCCGACCACATAGAATTACGGTAAGAATGTCCTTTGGAAAAATGTCCTTTACCGATAACACAGTTTATTTTGAATGGTATGAGTCGAATGTCTAGATCATGCGATAATTCAAACATCTTCTAACGCTGAAATCAGCCGTTCGAATAGAGGATTGTAAGAATATAATAGATCAGTACTAAGAAAGAACGGCCATTGGTCATTGTTACATCACGACTGATTGTGTCTATGTGGAGACTAGAAATATACTGCAACTAAATATTTTTTAATGGAATCGAACGATTGTGTTTTCATTGATGAAACATCTTCCTCTTCATCTTCGTCATCACCATCGTCTGCTAAAGTCACAATCAGTACAACAACAACAAACAAACGAAAGACAATGTTACTAGTGAATGGTTACCATTTTCAAATGAAGAACCACAACAAGGCGAAAATCATGAAATTTTGGCGATGTGCTAATCGAAATTGTGGTGTGCTGCTGCATACAAATCTTAATAATCAATTTGTACGGTTTTCTGGAAATATATCCGATCATTCACATCTGCCGAATCCAGCTGCATCGGAGATTCGAACGTTGAGAGAACAAATGCAAAAACGGGCCAAAAATGAAATATTACCGTTGCAGGAAATTGCTGAACAAGAAGTACGAAAAGGTCTATTAACCGGTGAAACTCTTGCAGTTTTACCAAATATTCTTAATCTCGATATGATATTGATAATCTTGGCGAGATGAACACAGGTGTATTTCTTTTAGGTCATAATGTAGTGCATAATCGTCGGAAGTTGATGCCACCACTTTCACAGCCATGCTCTTTCGGCATTCCGGATGTATATAAAAAAGATTTCCTCAATCGTGATCGTTTATTATCACATGATAGTCATGATCCGCAATTTGAAATCGATGAACCATTATACCCACGACCTGAAGGCAGAGTTCTGGTATGGTCATCAGATATTCAATTAAAACTGTTGTTCGATAGTGAAAAACTTTACATGGATGGTATTTTCTCCACTGTTCCATCAAATTTCGATCAGGTTTATATAATTCAAGTTATTCATCACGAAACATGTAATTTATTTCTTCTTCCTTAAATATGCAGAAGTTTAAATTCATCTTTTTGCAATAGGTATACCTACAGTATATGCTCTACTTCCTGATTGAAAAACAACAACCTACTGCTATTTATTCCATGTTTTATTTTCCGAAGCGAAAAAACTCGATAAAAAATTTGATCATGACCTCATCATGACGGATTTTGAAGCCGGTGTTGCCAAAGCCATCTTAATTGAGGTAGAGTTTTCTTCAAGCTTCTCAATATTTATGATGACGAACTGTCAATATTCTCTTGTAATTCACAGAGAAAACAACCCAAAAAGGGTGTTTCTTTCATTTTTGCAGGGCAATTTATCGAATATCTAGAAGATATTACGATCCGTAGTACGATTCGACATCTGATGGCATTGGCACTAGTAGCTTGCGAACAGGTTCCATTGTTATTTGGTCGTCTTGGCGAAGAACTCGATGAAAATGAACGTGATCAGTTAAATTACTTATTTAAGTACTTTGAATCACAATGGATGCGGCACATAAACATGTGGAATGTCTTCAATATGTCGGAAAGAACTAATCATTTTAGCGAGGGTGTGCCAGTGTAAAGTGACAAGCAAAACTTCTTACATAGTCACATATTTAGGATATAACCAACGATTCAAAAGAAGATTGAATCTCATCCCAATATCTAGGCGTTCATTGATCCAATTCGAAACGAAGTCCATACTGTCCACAATTTGATCTTTTAAGTAAATTGTGGAATGCAACTTCATGAAAAAAGAAATCAATTCAAAATTGCTGAACGAAGAATTAAAGAGCTATACAATCGGTTCGACAATAACAAAATTATCATTGATGAATTATTACATCAGCTTTCTTTTTTTGTTGCGAACGAAAAATAAACCATGATCACCACTCGTTGCAATAAAAATCCAGACGAACATCATAATTGACTATTTTTCATGTTTCGATAGAAGGACATTTTTCGAAAGGACTTTATGATAAAGGGCCATCTCCAAAGGACATTCTTGACTGTTATGTTAACTACTGTAGTTTTTTAGCGTATTACTGTTTATCAGTTGTTCCTGAAACGTGAACTTTCGTGGCGATATAAAAATCAATAGAAATAAAAGAAACCAAAAAATGTAGTTCGTTTTCTCGTCTTTTTTACACTATATAACCTTGCATACATTTCATACGTAGTGACTGCTGAAGCATGACGCACGTGTCTTTCTATATTCAAGTAGACGTATCCTCACTGTTATATACATTTAAAATGATGATTAGTGCCCTACACAATTTTGTCTTTTTGATTTTCTTTTGTGCAGAGTATCAGACGAACTATAGCTTTGCCGTCCATAAAATTGTTCTTGAAGTGACGAAAGAAAAGAAGAAACTGATTCGACTTTCTCGTCTAACACAAATCTTATTATTATTCTAGATGGATGGTACCCGTACTACCAATGATGATGATGATGTTTTATTTCAATATAAAACTTATGAAGAATTTCGAACAGCACGCTTGAAATTGAACTATGAAAGTTCATTAAAACTATGGTATTCGTTACCCTCTGATTTGGCTAGTATTGATAACAACCCTACGAAAAATTTAGGCGTAAATGTGATAAAACAATCATTAATTTACGCGCCTTTATACGGTATTACTTTGGCATGAAATACGGTACATGGAGGGTCTCAATAGGCATAACTTAGTACTTAAAGTTGGCGTCTCAATTCAACGATGAAAAGCGGTTTGTTTATCCTGTACAACTCGTCGCTTTTCAT